TGATTTAGAAATGGTTAAAGTCCATTTGGATTTCTTTTTCTAAGAACTGCATTTCTGGAAGTTGCTGCAACCGATTTTGAATTATCTTCAGCAAGATTTTACTTGCGAGTGATATTAATGATACTGTTTGACAGTTTCCACATTCTGTAGGATCACCTTTCTTTGCAGTAAGTACAGATATGGATCTCTTCCAGTCACTTGGCCAGGTAGCTGTCTTTCAGATTTCTATAGACAATTGAGTGCCTCCAGTGCGGCATCTGTTTGTTGAAACATCTCTGTGGGTGTCCTGTTAATTCCTGGAGCCTTTTCTATGCCATTTCCTTCAGTTGCAGCTTTGACTTCTTCCTTCTATACCATTGGTTCTTGATGGTGGTTTCAGCCACCTGCTGAAATGGATGAACATCAGCCAATTTTTTTGGATACAGTGGCTCTCTGTATTCCTTCCATCTTCTTTTGATGTTTCCTCTACTAGTCAGTATTTTGCCCATAGAATCTTTCAGTATTGCAAATTGAGGTTTGAATTTTTTCTCAGTTCTTTCAGCTTGAGAAATGCCAAGCGTGTTCTTCACTTTTGGTTTTCTAACTCCAGGTCTCTGCACATTTCATTATAATAATTGGCTTTGTGTTCTTGAGCTGCTCTTTGAAGTCTTCTGTTCAGCTCTTTTATCTTGTCATTTCTTCCATTTGCTTTAGCTGCTCTCTGTTCACAGGCAAGTTTCAGTGTCTCTTCTGACATCCATTTCAGTCTTTCCTTTCTTTCCTGTCTTTTTTAATGACCTGTTGCTTTTTTCATGGATGATGTTCTTCATGTCATCCCACAGTTCCTCTGGATTTCGGTCATTGATGTTCAGTGCCTCAAATCTATTCTTTAGATGGTCTCTAAATTCAAGGAGAATATAATCAAGGTCATATTTTGGCTCTTGTGAACTTGTTTTAATTATCTTCAGCTTCAACTTGAATTTGCATATGAGCAGTTGATGGTCTGTTCCATAGTCATCTCCTGGCCTTGTTTTTGCTGAAGATGTTGAGCTTCTCTATTGCCTCTTTCCACAGATGTAGTTGATCTGATTCCTGTGTACTCCATCTGGTGACGTTCACATGTGTAACTGTTGTTTCTGTTGTTGAATAAAGGTATTTGCAATGAGTAAGTCGGTGGTCTTGCAAAATTCTTATCATGCAATCTCTAGTGTTATTTCTGTTACCAAGGGCATATTTTCCAACTGCTGGTGATTTTTCTTTGTTTCCAACTTTTGCATTCCAGTCACCAGTGATAATTAACACATCTTGATTGCACGTTCCATCAATTTCAGACTGCAGAAGTTGGTAAAAATCTTCAAATTCCTCATCTTTGGCTTTGGTGGGTGGTATGTAAATTTGAATACTAGTAGTATTAATTGGTTTTCCTTGTAGATGTATGAATATTATCCTATCACTGACAGCATTGTACTTCAGGACAGATCTTGAAGCATCCCTTGTGATGATGAATGCCACGCCATTCCTTTTCAAACTGTCATTCCCGGCATAGTAGATCATATGGTTGTCTGATTCAAAATGGCCAAAACCAGTCCATTTCAGCTCACTAATGCCTAGGATAACGATCTTTATGCGTTTCGTTTCATTTTTGACAACTTCCAGTTTTCCTAGATTCATACTTCGTACATTCCATGTTCTGATTAATGTATGTTTGCATCTATTTCTTCCCATTTTGAGTTGTACCACATCAGCAAATGGAGGTCCTGAAAGCTTTACTCCATCCACATCATTAAGGTTGGCTCTACTCTGAGGAGGCACCTCTTCCCCAGTTGTATTTTGAATGCCTTCTGGTATGAGGGGCTCATCTTCCGGCACTATATCAGATAGTGTTTCAGGAGTATTCGTGAGGTTTTCCAGTAATATATCAGACAGTGTTTCACTGGTATTCATAAGGTTTTCACTGGCCAATTCTTTGAGAAGTGGATGGCTCCTTCTTTCTTCCGAGTCTGCCTTAGTCTGGAAGTTCCACTGAAACCTTTCTAACATGTTGACCTTGCTGTTATTTGAAATACCGATGGGATAAGCTCCAGCTGTACACAACACACAAGCCACCACAATATGACAAACTGACAGACTTACAGTAGACAATAGTAGAGAATAAAAGAATGGCTCTTATAGTTAGTGATTATCTAAAATGTGATCCCTTGATATCAGTTATGGTGATTAATGGAGATGTTTGACTGGCCCCTTTCTATTTATGTTGAGGAGCCATTCATCTAAAGCAAGGGTTGCAAACTGGTAATCTGTAATGAGATCCAGTACACTGTCATGAGGTATATTTTGTTTTTAGGCAATGATGTTGAAAAAATAATATTAAACTGAATACATTTAGACAGAACTTTGCATTATCATGTCCCTATAATCCATTTTATCCTATATCTAGCCCATTCTCATTCACATTGCTTACCTGACCCTGTGTGCATTGTAGTTTGGAGCTCTTGATAGATATCTGAAGGCCTCAGTGTTCTCCCTGCTATCCTCCCCTCCCCTAAAAAAAAAAGTGAAAGGAAAATGAGAAGGCACATGTATTGCCTGCTTCCTCCTCCAATCCATAATTAAAATCAAATGACAATTAAAAAAAAAAAAAAAAACACTGCCATTAAGTTGATTCTGATTCATACTGACCCTCATTGGTTTTCCAAGGCTGTAAATGGGGCAATCTACTTCCATAGTGACACCACCTTGGAAACCCAAGGAGGGGTTGCTAAGAGTTGTGTCTGACTCAGTGGCACATAACAACAGCAACAACAACAACAACAACAACAAATCTTTATGGAAGCGGATTGTCTTATCTTCCTCCCCCAAAGCAGCTGGGTTTGAACTACTCATCTTCTAGTTAGCAGCCAAATGTCTTACTCACTACACCATCAGAGCTCCTGCAAATAAAGGTTAGGGCCTGTTGAAATGCTCAACTAGTAAAATTGGTTAAGTCAGGAAACTTAGAAAAATCTGGCTTTGTTCCAGTAGCTATGTGTTTTCTCTATTTATTAACAGTTCATTTGTTACCAAAGTTTTTGTAATTTTGCCATGTTCTCTTGTCATCTTCATGCTTGTATTCTCCCACAGGAATTAGCCAATTATTTCTCTCATCATATTCGTAATTGCTTTGGCTCAGAACTGATTTTGTTTGTCCAACTTGCATAAAGTTCCTTTTGTTGAATGAGTTATCGTAGCACAGAATATTTAACGAAAAAAATGTCTATCCAGTTACTGAAAACTTTTAACAAAGGGTAATAATCAATAATGGAAGTTAAAGGAATGATAATCTTTCTCAAATATTGTTTTGATACTTCCAACATTTACAGTATGTAGGAGCTCTTTTTTAGTTTTGAAAAATTATGCCTCAAAGATATTCTCTGGAGTTCAGTTTAAAGCTTAACTTAAATGTAAATTAAATCGAACAGCTTAACTTAGAAGTTTTATGTAGACTACAAATTGTGTAACTCAGAATGGGCGTGTGTTGAAGGTCATTAAGTTTTTCCTTGTTATTGTTCCTTTGTTAGTTCAAGTTTCTTCATTTTTTAAGTTAGTAATCTTCCCTTCCATGTAAAAGTAAAAATCTTAGAAGCTTTAGTAGCTATTTTGGCAACAGTGATTTCATGACAGGAAATGCTTTTTAGTTATTACTGTTTCTGTGTCTTGAATGTGATTTTCCTTCTGAATGATAGAATTTTTGATACTCTAGAATGAAGTTTTTCAGTGAAAATAATTTTCAAAGAAAATTATTATTTTGATTTTAGAAAGTTTATTTTCTAGTATGTAATATTTTGAATATATTTGGTCTGTAAAGATTACAAAAAATAAAATCAGTATTTGGTTATAACTGACAAGAACCAAGTTTGTGATATATTATAATACATCATAATATCAATTACAGAATATTTTAATATATAATAATATGCTAGCTTGCAAGGTGTTTTAATTGTTGAAGTTGACAAAACTGCACCCCAAATGATACATGTATTAGAACTTCTTACAACCTTCTCCCTGTCATCTGTGCAAAAAAATCAGAAAATGATTTAGTTAATTCTATTTCTTTTTTAATATTTTATTTTGTTTTTGGTGAAGGTTTACCTAGCAATTTTGGTTCCCATTTAACAGTTTCTACACAAGTTGTTCAGTAACTTTGGTCACATTCTTCACAGTGTATGAACATTCTCGTAATTTCCATTCTGGTTGGTCTGTTTGATTTTTTATATTTCAAAGTATAATTTTAAATTAAGAAATTATAATGAAGTCAAGTTTTAGTTTCACTTCTTTTGTTTGCTTCTTGAGAAGTACCATACATTATAATGTAACTCTTAATTGAATATATTTTAAGAAAATTATGAAGCTCATTTTGATGGGTAAAAGAGCTAACAAATCTACTTCTCAGTAGGTCTAACCAAAAACTTGTTGCCATTGAACAGATTCTTACTCGTAATGACCTTGTAGGGCAGAATAGAACTTCCCCATGAGGAAGCAGCCTGCCACATTTTTCTCCCCCTGTATGGCTGGTGTGTTCAAACCACTGACCTTTCGGGTGATAGCCAAGCTTTTAACCACTGTTCCACTAGGGCTCCTTCAGTATTCCTAAGAGCAGAAAACAGCAGTTAAAGCATTGAGCTGCTAACCAAAAGGTTGGCATTTCTGACTCACCAGCCACTCCATGGCAAAAAGATAAGGTAGTTTGTTTCCGTAAAGATTTACAGCCTTGGAAACCATATTAGGCAACTCTACTCTGTCCTATAGGGTCACTGTGAATTAGAATCAACTCGATAGCAGGGAGTTTAGTTTGGTTCTGTAGCATCCAAAAATTGAAATTCTGCCATTTGTTTTTGGTAGTTGTGTTTACTTGGTTATTGTAGAAATGTTTCGACATGTTTGTAAACAATTGAAACTTAAAGAGTCATACATTATAGAACAGAAAATGTTAATTCTGGTTAAACAATATCCTCTATGTTGATTTCTATTTATTCCTCTTAAAGAACTGCACAGTGAATCCAAAAGAAAGTATCCTGAAAAGAGTGAAGGATATTGGATGTATCTTTAAAGAGAAATTTGCTAGAGCTGTGGGACAGGGATGTATTGAAATTGGATCACAGGTAACTTTAAGTTCATTTCAATTAATGCTACTGTATGGTAAATAATTTTGAAGGCAGTAGCTGTTCAACTAGAATAAATAGAAAGCAGTTGCTATATCCCATTGCCTATGTATGCTACCGTTTATTGGAAACTGTATGGGAAGCCATTCTCTACTCTGTTATAAAAAAACAGAAGTAAACATATCAACTGTAGAAATTTTAGAAAATACAAGTAAGGAAAAAAACTAAAATCTTTGATAATGTAATTGTCTATACTATAAAATTATAT